CCACAAAACCGAACCCATGAACTTCCAACAGCACCAGATAGTTCCAGTCACAAAACTTTCCATAATCAATCACAATCTGGACGTACCCACGATACCAATATATTTCCAGTACCGTCAGACACTACCAGAAGTACTTCAAACCACGTTCTTTTGGAAAACCACACACAACAATCAAATCAAAGTTCTAATAAGACACTTAAAGCTTCCAAATGCATTACACAAATCTGCATAAACAAGGAAATCAGTGAAGCAAAACTCAAGGCATATTTGAGAACTAATTCTTCAGCTAAGGCTATAGGGAATATGCAATTAGACGCCCCACCATCTTTCCCTACAAATACCCCTACAGACTCAATTAAGAATGAAATATCCACTTCAAATGTAAGTGCGTTCACATCATCACTCAGTTCAGTTCAATACAACCCTAGAACCTTGCATATGATAGATCCGATTCCAAGTAACTCGGGTTCTATTCCAACGCATCCTACAAATCCGAAATTAACAACGGGAAGTTCTAGTGCATCTACGAACACAGGTTCTTATAACATTCCAACACATCCTACAAACCTGTCAAGCCAGACTAACAATGCCAGTACACATTCAAGCACAGGTTCGTCAAATAGTCCAACACTCCCAACGTACCCTCCCAAAACAATTGGAACTGATGACACATATTCAAACACAGGTTCGTCTACTATTCTAACACTCCCTAAGTATCCGCCAACAACAATTGGAACTAATGGCACATATTCAAACACAGATTCTTCCTATGTTCCAGCACATCATACAAATCCACCTGCAAACATTGGAACTGCAAGCTTGCGTTCACACACCGATTCAGCCTCTGTCCCAACACATCCTACAAATCCGTCTGCAAACATTAGTACTGTAAGCTCGCGTTCACACACAGATTCAGCCTCTGTTACAACACATCCTACAAATCCGTCTGCAAACATTGGAACTGTAAGCTCGCGTTTACACACCGATTCAGCCTCAGTCCCAGCAAATCCTACAAATCCGTCTACAAACATTGACACTGTAAGCTCGCGTTCACACACCGATTCAGCCTCTGTCCCAACACATCCTACAAATCCGTCTGCAAACATTGGCAATGTAAGCTCGCGTTCATATACAGATTCGGCCTATGTTCCAACACATCCTACAAATCCGCTTGCAAACATTGGCACTGTAAGCTCGCGTTCACACACCGATTCAGCCTCTGTCCCAACACACCCTACAAATCCGTCTGCAAACATTGGCACTGTAAGCTCGCGTTCATATACAGATTCGGCTTATGTTCCAACACATTCTACAAATCCGTCTGCAAATATTGGAACTGTAAGCTCGCGTTCATACACAGATTCAGCCTCTGTCCCAACACATCCTTCAAATCCGTCTGCAAACATTGGCACTGTAAGCTCGCGTTCACACACAGATTCAGCCTCTGTTACAACACATCCTACAAATCCGTCTGCAAACATTGGAACTGTAAGCTCTCGTTCAAACACAAATTCAGCCTCTGTCCCAACACATCCTACAAATCCGTCTACAAACATTGGCACTGTAAGCTCTCATTTAAACACAAATTCAGCCTCTGTCCCAACACATCCTACAAATCCGTCTACAAACATTGGCACTGTAATCTCGCGTTCAAACACAGATTCAGCCTCTGTCCCAACACATCCTACAAATCCGCCTGCAAACACTGGCACTGTAAGCTCGCGTTCAAACACAGATTCAGCCTCTGTCCCAACACTTCCTACATACGCGCAAACAAACACTGGAACTGCAAGTTTATGTTCAAACACTGGTTCGTCATATATTACAACACATTCTACTGTCCTGTCTGCAAACACTGGACATGCTACTGCAAATTCAAACACAGACTCTTCCAATATTCCTACACTAGATACATACACGCCAAAAAACACAGGATCTGCTGGAACACATTCAAGAGCAGGCTTTGTGGATATTTCAACACATCCTACTTATCCACCTACAAACACTGAAACTAGTAGCACACATTCAAACACACGTTCATCGAATGTCCAAACTGATCCTACATTCGCGCCAATGAATACTGTAGCCGCTGGTATATATTCACACAAGGGTTCTCCTAATATTCCAACACAGCCTACACAAAAGCCAACAAACACTGTAACTGAAATTTTGCATTTAACCACAGGTTCTTCAATTTTCAAAGAACAAAATATTTCCGCGGCAACAAACACCAAACGTGGAGGTGCCTCTAATATACCCACAGATCCAACGCCAACAAAAACTGAAAGTGCCAGTAACTCGTTACTTGAAATTGTTAACGCACATGATACCAACATCCCAACCAGCATTGAAAAACTAGCATATGCCTCTACCATTGCTCCTCGTTTACCCACACACCATTCTGCAATTGGTACCACACATACAGCAGGAAACCATGGCAACGAGAAGATAACAGCCTCTGTGGAAGAGTCTCTGAGGCAAGCACAGAGAGATAGTAATACCCCAAATAGTGTTCAGTCAAATATTGCTTCAATTTTTCAAATAGAGCCCATTGTGACTCATGGTCCGGGAAACATCCAGTCATCCTTAGATATTGATGGTGGTACATCACATCGGGTAACTCCTGAAAAGCATTTAACTCGATCAGCGCAAGTTCCAAAAGCAAAATGCACTACCCAGATCTGCATAGATAAACAAATAAGTGCTGCAAAAGTTCAGTCATATTTTGACAACAATGCGTCACCGAAAGGCATAGGGAAGCTACTATGGGAAGGAACATCTAATGGTGAAACACAACATATTAACACCGTTTTCACCAAAGCAGTTGTACATCAAACGTTGGATCAGCCAAACACCGTTTCTCAAGGTCAATATAGTATTGCTACAATGAAAGACGTTCACAACCACATGAGGAACGAAAGCCAAACGCAATCACATCACCCTCAGAACACCAACACATTAGACACTGCAAGTGGTACAGGTAATATTCCGACACAGTCAGCACCTTCGGCAAACTGCACCACAGGAGCATGCATAGCCAAAATGATCAGTACTAAACGCCAATCCTATTCGACACAGAATACATCGCAAAGCGCCATGGGGAACCTACAGTCGGACAGACAGCCATTACCTACAGATATCAGTTTTGAAAGCCATTCAAACAGTGTATCAACTTCGAAAGGAAGTTCCGTCACTTCGCCAAAGAATGCAGGCATTTTATATTCACATTTAGTTAGTAATAGCAGTAGAATCATCCAGGGAAAGAATAAACAACCTACACAGAAATTTGTCAATATTCCTTCAACTAATTCTCGATGTCACACTCCAAACTGTATCAACCAACAGGTCCCAAATGCAACGCTGAGCAGAAATATGACTTTCAATGAAACATCCACAATAACAAGTAACATGAATTCTAAACCAGTACCATCATTCCATACATCTCCACACTCAACGCACATCTTTCATGAACAATCATCCGTCAAAGGAAATACGTTCACTCCCCCACAGTCTAACACATACTCTCCCAAGCCTGCTGAGGGTCAATCAGCTACGTTATCAAAGAATAGCATTAACCAGGTCAGTTCCCCTCAAAGCCTAATTGATGCCACTAACATTCCCCATCACCAACACTCACCCAGTGCAAAGCCTTCCAGACAAAACCACAAGCCACAGACACATCATGTGAAGACAGCTAATACGCCCCTGAGTCCCAATAGTGAGGCCAAAAAGGGCCTAATACAACCCTTAGGTTCAAGTTCAAGATCAAACTGCAACAAAACTATGAATTGCATTAATACGGTGATAAGTGATTCGCTGCTTAGTGCATACTTATCAAGGAAAGTTGTGCCAACTCCAATCGGAAAGATGTCCCGTAAGCCTACTACATCCGATACACAGTCTGAATTCTATGGAAGTTTAGACACAGGATCTGCTCCATCCGTAAATATTGTGAACCATGTGCCACAACAGCCACGTGAGGCATCTTCGTCAAGGCTTTCGCAAATGAAACATGCAAAGGGAACATATAGGGGACAAACAAATGAGCTAAATCAGAGTGGAGCTGAAGTAGAAGCTCACCTTTCAAGTAATAGGACCACACATGCGTCTGGGTTGAGTCCTACCGATCGTTTCATGACCTTCGCGAATGCATTTGAAACACTGATGGAACATGTCTCTAGTCAGGCAGGAACTTTGCAAAGGGAAAGCAACATTTCAAATGGAACTGGAACTGGAGTAAGCCACGAAGTTGAGGCAGAGACAACTGAATCTGAACTTCATGTCACAGCAGGTAGTACCGAGATGGGAGTACATTCAGCAAATGGTATTTCAAGTCCACCATATCAAGGTTTCACAAGCCATGACACTTTGCATAAAAAGCCATCTTTATCTGGGATCAACAAGGCGGTGGATTTAACTGCCCTTCTGCGAGGAGAGCAAATGCAAAACGGGAGGTTAGTTGGGGGTGGTGAAAAAAGCATTCAAGCCGTATCACACTCAGGAACAGACCAGCATCTTTCGACTAGCACTGATGCCGCTTCCCCTGCACCTCCATCCCCTCCCTTGACAAACCCTCCCACCCTTAGTAGAGGGGATAATTCCCCAACCTCACCAGGTTTGTACCTTTATAAAGTATGGTGCTGGCATCACCCTTAAGGTATGTGAACATAAATTATGTTTTCAATACAACATTAAACCTTACACAGGTTTTAGTTTCGTCTCTGTCAAACGTCTTTAATTCATAAGATGATGTCACAATGTTCTGAATGTATTGGTTCTATTTGTCAGGTCCCTTATGTTGAGTATGGCAACCTCATGGACAGTTATGATGATCACTGGGCGATCTCATATTACCAAAGTTACAGTAGTCAAATGTGATATATTACTTATAGTTGAACGTATCTCATGGTTATGTTTGTTTGAACATGTAACACACAATATATAGACTATTTACATATAAGTGTAGTTGCCTACATTCTTAGTCCTTTTTTTATTTTCAGGTATGTTCGATTACACGGTTCAAGATGGACAAGGTATGGGCATATGGCAAACGAAATTGGATAAAGAGTGACTAAACTGGACGAACAAATACAAATAGTTGTGCTTTCAACAGCCGTGAAGGCTCATCTCCTTTGACAAAATATACATGTGTATCTCAGCATATATAGAACTTCGAACCGTGGCAATGACACTCTACATGTTATCGTCAACTAGGCTAGTTTTATATGTCAATACACTGGGCGTGTAGCAAATAGTCTCATTTTAACAACCAATTTTAAGCAGATTAATAAACAAAGTAGACCGGATCTATAACGAAACGTCACCTTTACAGTATTAAAGAAGTTGTTATCCATAAATTGTGTCTACTTTGTCATCCGTCAACTTCTAAGTAATGCCTTCAAACAATTCGATTAATAAACAGTGAGACATGCGTTGTGGTCCCAGTATGGCCATGATGGGCTTTACGTAAAAAACATGTTGTACAGAAATTCATGCAAGTCGAGAAATGACAACATTTATGTGTTTGATAATGCAATAGGTTTGATGAAGTTCGTTCAGTAAAGTCACAGAATATCCAGATAGACGTGTTCATACCTTAAGAGATGCTAGAGGATATTCTTAAGGCAATATACATGCAGATGGTCTAAACAAAGCCGGTGAAGTTGCTTTTTGCCATTCAATATACTTATATATTTATGCTTCTTGTTTTATACCCATATGCACATTATGTTAAATCAAATATTATTCAGTATATCATGATTGATGATCATGATTGTCAACGTTCATACAGTTAAAGATATTTCCCTTGACACATTATCATCTAGATTTGAACCATTTGACCGTTGGTCAGTCAATACGAACATAAAGTATACATATATGCATTTATTTCAGGTGGAGGGTATTCAGGTTCGACGAACTATGGACCCATCAATGATGATTTACTGCAGTTCTTGTCAACACAAGGATTTAACAGCTTAGGTTAGTATCACCTTAGATAACATGACATAATATCTAAAAGAACGTTTAATGTATAATAGGAAACATAGTTTTCATAATATCACTGGCCGCCTCCATGGTCTAGCGGTAGGTCGGGCGTTCGATCACAATTCCAAAAGACGTTAACAGATGGTACTTGTTGTTACCATACCTGCGGCTCGGCATTAAGTTGTTAAAACAAGGACTGGTCGGCTCGGAGTCAGTGTACTGTGTCAGAGGTGGGGTATTCATGTTAAACTGCGGCATGGTATCTCAGTGGGCTAGCACTATAAATTCGGCATGTGCATGCACGTCGATATATATAAGTGCAATAATCTTGAACGAGAGGTTAACCCCATTTCACCCTATCTAACCTAATAATGTCACTGTTATATAAATGCATGCATTTTTATTGAATGGTAATTAGCCACTTAACTTTGCAAAGGATCCAGCTACTGTTTTGTTATGAAAGATATACAGCTTACTGGTGTAAGTTTACCCTTCTCAACAGATCAATCAATACTTTATTCAGTATGAAGGTCATAGGCCCATATACAAATAATAAAGTATGGTAATGACATATACATATTTCCAATATTATTTAACAAATACTTACATCTTTCATAAGCATGATAAATATACAATCGTTCTGATTTTATTTGTTCAGGGACGTGTGTGGCATATATCGTATTTAAATAAATTTATATTTACATTAGTGATACATGACTTTGGAAGATGTTTAATATTAATAGCCTCAAGGGAAGCACGTACAAGTAAAAAATGGTATTGATCCTCTATACCTCAATCACATAAAGGACAGTTTCTTACGGATATATCGATTTCGTGCCACCTACCTCTAATATTTTGCAAGTTAACAGTCATTCCCTTCTCTAGAATATGTAGGTGAAACTTTAAGCCACAAAAAGTATCAAAAAGCAGAATTACATCAGCCTTGTCTTAAACCCAATGCAAAATCCAAATAATATGTTAAATCTCTAAATACATCAAACGCATACTTTAACTGATCTATTAACACTTTGTTAGCCCTCAACACTTTACCATATAAGCCATAGTAGGACAATACATGCCCAAATCTCGACTGACGTTATCAAAAGCATTTTTAATCAATTAAAGCAACATACAATTTCTTCTTCTTTTTACCTAACCATCTTTCTACAATTGCACATAAGATAAAATTATTATCAATAGTCGAATAAAGTTGAGAGTCTGGGTGATTTTCAGAAACTTTACTCATAACACCTGCACATTTTGGAAGTCTTTAAATACACATGTTAACACTCAGTAAAGATATTCCTCTGTAATTATCGGTATTATTTATATCACCCTTTTTATGCAACAAAATATTACTTGACGTAGTCCATTAGTCTGAAAAACAGCCACTGTTAAATATCATGGTAAACAAAGAAGGCAGGAAGTGGTTCTGAAGATTTAATCATTTGAAGGAGCACATTAATAATTCCTGGTGATTTTCCATTATATATGTAATAGCGATATGTATTTCTTCAACTGTGTTAGATTCTGATACAAGTTCTTCAAACTCAAATATATGTACCGGCCTGTTGGATTCATTTTCTATTTCTAATGTAATAAGAAAAATAAGGAGAAAAATATTTAAATGATCAAAGCAAGTATCGTTTTAGTTATTATTAGATTTCTTCTTGTATGTGAAATACGTCTCAACTCTTTCAAAAAGCTGCTGAATTTGTTATAACTTCATTTAAACTTTCCCCCCTATTTCCGTTGGCGCGCGTTTGCAGTATGTACAAGTACTTTTGTATTTGTTCCTTAACCTATAATGTTGTATTCTGCTTGAAGAACTCTTGCAAGTTATTAAGTGTATTAAAATACTCTTGCCTTCCACCTTTGTTGCCTGACAGTCCGATCAAACTAAATCAGACTTTACGGTATTAATGACAACTCTCTGAACATTCTGATGATTCAAGTATACAACTGACCCATATTTCTACGGCTTCGTTAACATCTATATCAATAACATTAACCAGGTCTATTACATAATGCTTTATGGCAACCATTTTAAGCATAAACGTGTCAACATGTGCCTTATTCCATCCATACTTGACATGGTGTATTTTTTACTGGTAGTTTATAGTTTACACTATCTTATAAATATAAAATTTAAAATTACAAGCATGTGCTTAGTCTCAACACTGTTGCCTAATGTTATTTGTTTGTAATAGCTAAAACCTTCAACATAGAAAACGAAATTACCGATGACACTACATCCTTGAAAGAGATGTAAGTGAAAGAACCACCAGTGTCTTAGACAACGCTACCATTGGGTATATGCAGTCTTAATACATAGCGTTGGTCTCTGAGTCGATGAATCCTTGAATTTAAGTTGAGAGATATTATCAAGAATATTGTACTGTAGCCGCTTTATAATGTTCGCGTGAAGGGGGTTTCAGTTGGACGTGAATACGGTCATTTGGTCAAGTATGAAATGTTTGATCATATCAAAAATAATGCCAAAATCTCAACGCCAGAGAATAACCAGTCTCGATTATCAGCCGAAACAGATTGCATTAGGCAGCAAAATAGCGGGGCAAATTATATGAATGTATCACTTAAAATCAGTGATGACACCAGATCGTCACGAAAAGGTTATCCTTCCCTCAAAACACTTGCAACCAAATGGAGTTACCAACGGGACATACCTGGGCCCAATATGTGTAAACTAGTGACACTCTCTATACAGAAGTCCATGTTTATCCTGATTATGCTTCTTTGTCCATCAGCAACATACACACTCCTCTGGGTTTCACCAAGAGTTTAACCATTTGCAGACTTAATTACTTTATTTTTTTAATCCCACATTACATTTACATGCAATGAAAATAGTTAAAAGTTCACCAGCCCTCAGACATACCGTTCAATATTCACTCTCTAATTTAAAAAAAAATCATTACGATAAATATGCTGACATCGTGTAAAACGCTAATCGTGATATTGTGCTTGTATCTATTTCAGATTCATATCTACAAAATGAGTTAAATCAAGCTTTAGACAGTCCTGTTCCGCACACTTCCAACTCGGCTAGTTCCCAATCCCAAGGTCCAAACAGAGGCACTGGTACCACGACGGGTAGTGTCATGAAGACCCCGACCCACCCCCAATCCAATACACTTCCTCTAGACATGGCAACAACACCTGGATCTAAGCAATTTCAACTACCCACGAGATCTGCACTTTCCATTGACGTACACATTCCGCACACAGCAGGTTCTCCGCCGTCAAGTCAGCAAGGGGTAAACCCACAAACATATGGACCTCCTGGGCCTGCTGTCAATGATAACACGAGGCCAAATTTGGCCAACGAAGCTATTCATCATTCAAACAACGTGGTTTTTGATGTAACGATGGGGATTCAGGACCAACGCAAACAACCGAATGCTTTGAGGAGCCAAGAGGGAACGCTTACTAAAAGAAGCTCTACACAAACAGTTACTTCAGGGACTCTTGATCCAACGGTTAATTCAGGACAAAACACTGCGTCGCATTTGTCTACAGTTGATGCTGGATTTGTAAGTATGAGCGGCGGGGGTACTACACAATCAAGACCGTCAGCTCACGGACATTCTCACCAACAGCGATTTATGACCCTTGATGGGATAAAGACGTTGCAACGAGGGACGAGTAACACCCAGGCGGGTACATCAGCAGGTGAGGGCCACGATACAAAAGCATCAGAACTACAGTCGAATGTCAACACAGACGGAATTTCTCACGGTTCATCTCAGCAGGATAGGTCAGCCACAACAGGAACATCTTCCATTTCTTTCAACTCCCAAGACGTTGGTGGAGCACGGATTGATCCGAATCAACACTCCGGTGGAACTAATGCAATGGCATCTGAAATGAACACTATTCCAATAAATGCATACACCTCCCGGCCCCTAATGGACACCAATGCAGGAACAACGTTTTTCGACAGGACGTCTTTGATAGCATCAGTGGCTAATAGAATACCATCCGATATATTCACAGCCCAAAAGGATGTTCAGCCAAGTCATGGAGCTAGTCTATTAACAGCGGCGATGGCGGCGGCAGCGGCAGCAACATATGAGCGGACCAGCACAGGGGCACCTAAGTTTAATCAGGGTTTGGACAGTGTCAGTTTTAATGGACAACCTATTTCCAAAGCTGCCCATCAAAAGATCGTGGGAGCACCGGAGTTCTATCAACGGGATTCGCGTTACCTTGATGGTGACCAAGGAGAATCAGAAGGACAGGAAATGTCACAAAATATGGTGAATATAAACCCCTTGCTTCTCCATTTCGGTGTCTCAAAAGAAAGACAGATGTCTCCTCACGACAGCCAGCAGTTTCTTTCAAATTCTGAGCGTTCAGCTGGTTTTTCGGAATATTCTCCGATGACCTCATTTCCACTCATATGAGGGACCTGGCCCTGTTTCATCTAAAGGAATTTAGGTGAGTAAAGGAAACAAAACCATGACTTTTGATATATTATGATTAGATAATATTTCATAATGTGAATACGTTCCATGGACAGACTTTGATAAATATTAGGGAACGTTCATTTAAGTGTCCGTTTCTTTAACTGGTGAAATGTTTTCAGTGTTTAATCGGACACTCGTACAATGGACTCTGCCTTAAGTAGAGATTTCTGATGGCCATGCAAATGTTTCTGTCGCATAGAGTTAAATTTCAACACTTGTTTTCGAGGAAAGAAAGATAATATGCGATGTCCCCTAAAGCAATTTTAAAACATCATAAACGGATGGCACCCAATTGAGTTTTGACAATGGTTAAGCCTAATATCGTGCTATGTTCATGTGAAGGATCACAAGCACAATAGTTATTTGGAGAACAACGTACATTTAATCACTGAAAGTGAATGAGTGAGTGAGTTGGGTTTAACGCCGGGATTCGTGAGTATGGTTTTAAGCCGTTTTTAGCAATATTCCAGCAATATCACGGCGGGGGACACCAAAAATTGGCTTCACACATTGTACCCATGTCGGGAATCGAACCCGGGTCTTCGGCCTGACGAGCGAACGCTTTAACCACTAGGCTACCCGGCCGCCCCCTAACGCCGGGATTCGAACCTACAATCATAGGTTTCTGGCGTGCCCAAGGAACGCAACTCTGCACAGCGAATCGCGACGCCTGAGACGACTGGTTAACCCGTCCCCCCTTGTTCACTGAAAGGAAAAGCTGAACTATGTTTCTTCCACAATATAGTATTTTTCACTCCATCCAGCCTGACAAGTATACCATTATGTTCGAATGCAAAACATGAGATAACATTATGTTAAAGTATTTTTGGAACAAAAATATTTTTTTCAAAAAAATCAACAATAAACATGCAGAATATCAAATACTCGATACCTTATTAAGCCGGGATAAGGAGAACGAATGATTGATTGTTCGGGTTTAATGTGATAACGACGTAGATATAATACTGCCACGTTGTAAATGTCACTCGTACTTTGTTTCAGTGTTGCTGCCCTGTTAAGGTGTGGGTTTCGTTCATTATCTGTCTCACGACTGTTTCATCTGTGCTTCCCCGTTGATACATCGCATTCACCCTGTTTATGTCAAGAAAGTATTTCATGTTGCCTGAAGTAAAGTCATGATTGATAACTCCCCGTGTCATTTGTCGTACTTTCGCTCTTGTCCAGTCGACTCGGTATGTAGTTTGAACTGACAAGCGCTTGACATACTCTGTCAGACAGACATATAGATAGCTGACTTCACAGTATTGGATATGAAATCAGTATATAAATTTCTTTGTGAATGACAGAATACAGAAATTACAGCTTTGCTTCTTCGAGAACATTGTGGTAGTTGATTGTTCTTCTTGATGCGTATCTTTCAGTCCTCAACGCCATTGACGGTCGGTTAGCCTGTCTAGTGCATAAAGTGTTACAATGTATGACACCCTATACTCACTCACTCACAAAGTTGATAAAACATACAATTTGTCTTTGCGATGTGTGTACCACACAGCTGGACAGTAATATGCATTGTTACTATTCATCGGAACAACTTCGATATACTGTAAACTACGTTTATAACGAACAGGCTTAAATACGCACTGATGGATATAGCGAACTTACTTTTTGTCCCGACTATTTACTGTAGTTATGCTGTATATGTGCTTATAACGAACTACGGTTATAACGAACTAAAATTAGTGGTCCCTTTGAGTTCGTTATAACCGTAGTTTACTGTACTTGCTTTGTTCTGTTAAACGGAAGCATTAGACACCATCTATTGTATCCACGTCGTCGGTTCAAATGCACTTTCCGGGTATCAAATACTCAATAACACCCCACAAATAAGAAAATACATCATTTCTAAATCCTACATTTAACATTCACCAAGTAAGCCGCAACTTTTAGTATTAGTAGGAGTGGTGGAGTTTCCTGTGAATAAACAGTTCGCTTATCATGCCGCAAATTGTTCTCCTTAGAGGCAATATAACATGAATTAGAAGCTAAATAAACTGTGTTTTCTATGTAGAGCTGGGTTACCGCAAGATTTGACCGCGCTTAATTTAATTTCAAATTTTCAAATTAGCGCTTCTCAGGTAACCAAGATTGACATTGAAAGCACAGTAGATTTATCTCAATTCTACCATGACAAAATGAAACGGGAAATCTTTGGTGTTAGCCACGATACGGAATTTTGTGTCACGGGTTGGGTCCAATGTTTTGAAAGTGTTGTCGATCTGAAGTAAGGAAACACCGATAGTACACACTTTACAACAGCTGGTGGTGTATATGGTCAAACATTGTTTTTAAAAAACCGACACATGAATCAAATTAAGCAAAAGTCACAGGTTTTTGTCAAAATTCATTTTAAGTTTGTCAGCCAATTCTCACGGACAATGCACTAATGCCTGCTTTGCGTTAGCTTTGTTACAGCAAAGCAATGACGGCGAAAACATATTGAGACACCTTATGCCGTTCAGAGGTGAGGTGAGGTGAAATGGGGTTTAACGACGCGTCCAAGATTATTGCACTTATAAAGCGACATGCATGTACGTGTGTGTGTTTGTGTGGCTGCTTGTACTAGTCCGGAATGATGCCGATTAATAGTGCTAGCTCACCGAGATATCATGCCGCAGTTTAACATGAATACCCCACTCAGACACAGTATACTGACTCCGAGCCGACCAGTCCTTGTTTTAGCCCTTTAATGCTGAGCGCCTGACAGGGTAACAACAAGTACCAACTTTTAACTCTTTTGGTATGACGCGACCGGGGATCGAACCCCGGACCTTCCGCTCTCCGGGCGGACTCGCTACCATTAGACCACGGAGGCGGTTATGCCGTTCAGAACAAAAAATACATGCTTATCCTACGTGCAAAAGCATTAAGCATAATACCTGTACATGTATAAAATGAACAACACACGAGCAGAACAACGGTTGAAGAAAGTTATAAACTGCCCATCAACACCAGGGAGAAGAGGCATACAATTGAAAATAATTACCCAAACACACCTGGTAAAACATTTTCACTTTTTGCTTGTTTAGGCGTGTCTTTACGTGTTAAACGGAACTATAACTTTATAAGAGGGTTATGTTTGTGCCACGAGTTGTCAAGTGTTGTTTAAAGAGCAGCTGCTGGGACATACGAGTAGATGTCTGCTTTGTTAATCTATCTCTTAGCTCGTGAGGAAGTTGTAAAATAGTTGAAGCCATTTTGGTCAGGATGATTTATGAAAGGTATTAATAACCACCCCTAGTTGGCATGATCAACATTTTAAGACAGGCGCATCTTTTAACTTACTTTCATAACATGATGATCAATGTTATGACAATGTCTTTAAGCATGTCGGTATTTACATCTATTTAACGTTTTCTAAAACAGGTATTTTTAAAATCTTAATGTTTAATCTTCCCATCTTCCCGAGGCAAGGTATTTAACTGATTATAAAAGTCCAGTTTCTACCCTTGTCAAACTAGGCTGGAATTTCTGAATTATATTTGGGCTGGACTAACGAGTCTATGCATAGTCCAATCAAAATTGCGTCACGGAATCGACATCCTGTTCGTAATCAACATGGCACCATCTTTCGCTCGATTGCAGGATCGTGGGTGTCGACAAGTATTTTACAAATCTTAATTAACGTGCCCAAGTGCTGTGCTACAAACAACATGCACTGTAACAAGACCAAATAGCGTCCATTCCAATTTGGAATGAACGTTGGAATGCTTTGTAAAGATCGCTCATTCCAAACTTTCCAAAGCTTGGAAAGATCGATCTTTCCAAAAAATCCAAAATTGGAATGGCAACATTTCCAAACATATGTCCAACACTGGAAATGTTTGGAATGGTTTGGAATGGTTTGGAAATATGGTTAGAAGGAACAAGTTAAAATATGTTTTATCAGTAATTTGAACAATAAAAAGACTATGAATTAGGGGCTTTAGGGGTTGCTTATATAGTAATTTTGAAATTTTGACATTTGGAAAGAATGCCAAGAGTGGGTGGGGGACGAACTAAGGGAGCTGTGTGTGTTGAGTGGTTGTTAGATAAGGTAGTTTTGGTTTTATTATTTTATTTGGGGTTTAAATGCGACTAATTAGTCCTGTTTTAATTAGGTATAAACCTAAGGCTTTGAATTTTTCTAATTTATTTTATGGATTTAGGATTGATTCTAGTGTAAGTCCGGTTTTAAGATTTAGGGTGGTCTGTAGTGTTGTTCGGTGTGTTTGGTAGTGTGTGCAGTGAATGAGTATGTGTTCTGGTGTTTCTTGTTGTTTGCAATGTGGGCAGTTTCCTGTTGTGTGTAGATTAGCTATTTTACGGTGATTATTTAGTTTGGTGCGGCCTGTTTGTAGTTTAGTAATTATTCTGTCGATTTTTTTGGATGGGTGTAGTATTTTTGGTTTATTTAGGTTTTTTTTCAGTACTTTCCTGATTTGGCTATTTAAGTTTTGGTTTATATTTTGCCATTTTTTGTTGATATTTTGTTTAGTGAGACTTTTGATTTCTGATTTTGAGCTGGGTTTAAGCTTATTTCTGGGAGTTAAAGGGATAATTTTGCTGCTTTATCTGCCTTTTCATTCCAAAGATTCCTCCGTGGGCGGGGGTCCAAATGAACTCTATTTGTTTACCTGCCCTAGTTAAGTTGTTTGAGCTATTGAGTATTTGATTTATTAGTTTGGGGTGGTTTTTAGTGTTTTTATTTTTGAGGGCTTGTAGTCCACTGAGGGAGTCGGTTAGGATGAGGATTTTTTATTTTTTTTTTAGATTGCTGATTGTGTAGTGCTGAGACAACTACTGACTGATATAGAAGATTTAACGTGCGCTTTCCGACTGCAGCGTATTTCGCACACGGGCCTGGCCGGACCATTTAGTGTATTCCGAAAAGGGTGAAAGTGGTGTGTGCAACCCAAGAGGGGGCTTTTAGGGGTTGCTTATATTGAATTTTTGAGATTTTTAAATTTGGAATAAATGCCGAGGAGGGAACTAAGGAGCCGGGTGAGGTGGGTGTTTGTATGTTTATTGGATTTTGGATTGGTAGATTAATTAGTTTTTAGATGCGCTTAATTAGGTCTGTTTTGATTAGGAATACGCCTAGGGCCTTGAAGTTTTCTAGTTTATTTTGAGGGTTTAGTATTTCATCTAGAGTAGGAACCTTATTTAGATTGAGGGTGGTTTGTAGAGTGGTTCTGTGTGTTTGGTAGTGGATGAGTGTGTGTTCTGTGGTTTCGGGTTGTTTGCAGTGGGGGCAGTTGCCTGTGGTGTGTCTTTTAATTTTTTTTAGGTGGTTATTTAGGTTCGTGTGTCCTGTTTGGAGTTTTGTAATTAATCTGTCTTTTTTTTGAGAGGGGTGTAGGATTTTAGGTTTGGCTAGTGGTTTTCTGAGCACTTTTTTTGCCATTTTTTGGTTATTTTTTGTTTGTTTACACTTTTAATTTCTGATTTTGAGATGGGTAGGTTTAGGCTTATTTCTGGTATTTTAAGAGATAAATTAGCTGCTTTATCGGCGCTTTCGTTGCCGTAAATTCCTACATGGGCGGGGATCTACAAGAAGGTTATTTGTTTGCCTGCTTTTGTTAGGTCGTTGGAGCTTTTAAGTATTTGGTTTATTAATTTAGGTCGTTTTTTGGTATTTTTGTTTTGGAGGGCTTGTAGTCCACTAAGGGAGTCGGTGAGAATTAGGATTTTATTGTTGTTTTTAGATTGTTGGTTATGCAGGGCTGAGGCCATGCCCATAAGTTCGGCCGTGAATATAGATTGGTTGTTAGGGAGTCGGTAAGATTGTGTGGATATAACTGGTTGTGTGGTGTGGACTCCGAAGCCTGTGTGGTTGGAGATCGGGTCTGAAGATCCGTCAGTGTATATGTGACACCCATTTGGCCAATTTTCGTGTATGTATGCAAGTGTGGTGGTTTTAGCTATGTGTGGGTCGGTTTGTTTATTTATTTGGTTAGCTAGCGTTGTGTCTATTTGGGGTATTTTGAGTTTAGGGGTGAAAATATTTGCTTTTTTGCAGTTTTGTTTAAGATTTTGAGTTTGGTGTTCATTGAGGTAGTTAGTTATTCTTTGGGATATTGGGGTGAGTAAGGGGTGTTTGCGAGCTAGAGTTTGGTTTCTTGGGCTTATGTTTTGGTTAATTATGAG